ACAACAATATCAAACATCATCAGCATATTCCATGGTAAGCCAGGAAACCGCAACAACTCTTCTGGCTAAACAAAGACTACAAGCAAGTGAGGCTCACACGCGCGAGGAGAACACGAATATTGGCAAGAGACGATTACAAGCTTGTCAAAGGATGGCTGTTAAACGAGCTCAAGGTACACAGAAGGAAGCTGAAAGACAGCGGTTGCTTGCAAGGGAAAGAAGTGCTTCCAGAGCAGCTGCCTTTACACCAGAACAAGCTGAACGAGAACGTACCTGTGCACGAGAAAGAAGTGCAGCTAGAAGAGCTCCTTTAACATTGGAAGAAATCGAAAAAACAATGAGAGTAAACTCGTGAGAAAGTTGGAGCATGGAGAGCTGCTCTTACACCGAAAGAAATCCAGCTACAACAAACACTTGCTACTGGAAGAACTATGAGTGAACGAGCTATAACGTCACCAAAAGAAGCTGAAGAACAGCGCGTGATAGATCGCAAAAGAAGTACCGCAAGACGAGCTGCTTACATACCTGATGATCTCGAACGTCAGCGCGCATCTATTCGTTAGAGAAAGCGGCTTCGAAAAAGTGGCAAGCACCAACAAGAAAGTAACGACTTTGAATGGCCAAAACGTATTGATATAGAACGTAAGAAAAACTGTCTAAAGAACTTTATTCAACATATGTCGATGAGTTCGCTGCAAGAGGGTGTTTGCGGTATTTGTAACATTCGTTGCTATAAACGTGATCTCCGCCACATACCATTCAGTAATATATCGTCGATTGAATTACTGAAAATATCCGATGATTTTTATGGCATAATTCCGAGAATGCAGAAAACGCACCCATTCCAGTCACATGATAATCTTAACATGAGTGACGGCCTTGCCATAGCTTTGATTCCAACAGAAAAGGCAGGAGGTTGGCCTTGCTAATACATAAATTAACACAGTAAACAATCTTTTTTTTAATTTCAGATACAAATACTCAATCAACAATGACTAAAAAGTGGTTTATTTGTGTAAACGGTATCGATTTTTATACATCAGGATTGCATAAAACTTTTGAGAGAAAAAGACGATATTCGGTTCACTGTGATATTTGTTCAGAGTGTTGGTCGTCTCTAATCAAAGAGAAGATACCGACATTTTCGCCTGCTAACAAAATATGGGTTGGAGATGTTCCAGAAGAACTACAAGGACTAACAATTCCTGAGCAAAAACTGATTGCTCTTTTTAGACATAATAGCTGCATTGTCAAGTTACATTCGTCTTTTCATTCGACAAGTACAGCTCAGTCAGCTTTAAGGAGGAATTGCATTAGTTTTTCGCAAGATGTTATTAACATAGCTACTACCTTACCATTAGATTTAGATGGTCTATGTGATTCTCTAAAGACAATCTTTGTTGGATGTCGTCCTCCGCAACAAAATCAATTAAAAAATGTTTTGACCGTTCGAAAAAAGAAAGTTTTCGAAGCACTTCAATGGCTGAGACAGAGGTAATAGTCAAAAATGTCCGTGCAAAAATGTCCTTGACGAAATGTCCTTGGCTTTTGGTCCTCGGACAAAATGTCCTCATAGAAAATGTCTTTCACATAAAATGTCCTTTCATGACCAACATGCCTCGAAGAAGTAATCCTTAAAAAATGTTCTTTGACTAGAAAAGTGGATAATACTAGTTGAAGATGTTAATGATGAGATTTGATGTAGGAGAACGTTTAAGATTTTATTGAATTAATCATTCGGCACGAAAAATGAAAGTTTTTCTAATAATTCTTATACTGTAATTGTATTGTTTTTAAATCGATCGTATAATTCATTCGTTCGATCTTCAGCTATTCTTGTTTATAATCGTTTCGTACGTGGACACATTTTACCGTTTATTTGGATGATCATACTATGGATAGTATCCACTTCTTTTTGAATAGCATCGGTAAAGTACCAGATATTGGGATGACATTTATCCAAGCGATTGCTAAACGTGTTATTATAGCCTACAAGTATGTGTCAATTACAAATTTGTAATTATCATACTTTTTAAACATACCTTCACTGAAATTGTTCGTTCTATCAGGAATGTCAAATACGTTCCACATTGACGTTCGTTGCAACCAGTAATTATTGAAGTACTTGAATAATGGAGCTAATTCATCACTTTCATATTCATTTAAATCATTTTGAAGATCATTAAATAATGTCGAAACAAATTGTGCAGGTACTAAAGCCAATGCCATTATTCGACGAATAACATTACGAATCACCATATTATCCATATAAACAGATGCTAGAGCGCACGATTGAACATTTCTGTAAATCGCCTTTGTAAAGTGAAATTAACATCCTTTTTGCATAGTGTTCTCTGTAAACTAAAAAAACAAAGACATTTTAAAAAGAATTATTGAAAATTTCGTCGATGACTATATATTATACCTCAAGACTAATTGCTTTTGTAAGACCAGGTTCAAAGTCAGTCATAATTGTTTTAGGATCGAATTTCTTATGTAATCGTTCTGCTTCGTTAAATAATACGTTGAATAGATGAACACATGTTGGTGCTTTTCGATCAGGCAGCAACGCATATAATACCGGCACACCTATTACAAAAAAAAACGTATCATATGTTAAGAAAATAATGTATCAAGGTTAGCTCACATGAACCATGGAGAAATGCTTGAATAATAAAAACTTGCTAGAACTGTGGTGGTGAGGTACTAAATGTACCATCCATATGAAGTTTTTGACTGTTGAACAACAAGTTCAGTTGTATATTTGACGACCAAATCAACATTCTTCCTTCACATCGCATATGTCCTGATTCTTTTAGTTGAAATTTAAGATCATCACTGTCGTACAACAACAAACGATCTTTATCACAAAAATCTTTTGTGAAAGATTCCGGTAAGAAAAAAGACGATGATTGTGGTACTGGAAGAGTTGCTTTACGACGCTGATGTACCAGATTATGACCTGAAACGAACATTAAAAACAAATATTCAAATCTATGACGTGGATGGAAAAAGAAATATCATACCTAAATTATTAATACGAGGTAAAACTGCTAAAGCTTCGCCTGTCAACAATGCTTGTCGTACTTCTTGTTCGGCGATTTTTTGCAATGATGTTATTTCGTTTTCGGCCCTTTTTCGCATAGCTTCTCGTAAATTTCGTACTTCGGTTGCAGATGGATTTGGTAAATGAGAATAGATAGATGATTTTCCACCATAACGTATAAATTCATTTTCAAGAGTTGTGTGTACAAGTACACGACACGTTCTATTGGCACACCGCCAAAACTTCACAGTTTGGTCTTTACTAACATTTTTCAGCTGGAAATTGTAACCTTCAATATCCAACATTAGTCTTCGTTTATTTGACACTGTTTTATTAACCGTAGGTTTCAATAAATCAGTCGATAATGATGATGAATATTCAATTAATGATGAGGATGATGATGATGATGATGACGAACATTCAGTTGATATTGACGAGGATAAAGATGATGCATCATCATCCATCATCATTTCGTCCTGAGCTGCCATTTCAAAAAGATTTCGTTATACTTCGTTGTTTTCTCTTTTAGATATTAAGTAAACAACCAATCGCAGTTCCAAAGTATATTTTCCTCTATATTGGCTCACTTTATACAGAAAGAATTCTTTAGATAAAGATTGATTACGTATCTATATATACTTGATTTACAACGCAACGCCATCTATGTTCAATACATCATACGCACACAAAAATAATAAACTAATCCAAAAGATATTATTGTAGATAAAGAAAAATTTTCAAAGGGCATTCTTCAAGAGACATTTTCAAAAGGACATTTCATATCGAGGACATTTATTAAAGGACAAAAGGTTTGAGGACCTTTTGTCCGAGGATCAAAAGCCAAGGGCATTTCGTCAAGGACATTTTTGCAAGAACATTCTTGACTGTATTCGAGACAGAATAATCCTCTATACCGTAATGTTACAATTAATCAATCAATAATCAACAAATTACCTGAAGATGATGTACCAGAGTGTTTGTGAGCAACTATGGAAATTTCTACTAATGTAGAAGCAGCTGAAAATGAACGAGCAAGTTACATTCCTGATCCGTTGATCAATGCATCTGAATTTAACAACAAAACAGCTATACCCATAATCTCAAGGTATGACAAAGAGACATATTGACATTTTTGCACTGATATTGTTTACGTTGTAGTGCTGTGTTAGATGTCAATGCTACCAAAGTGTCATCTGACGAAATCGCTGAACATCTTTTAGAACGAATCAAAGCACAAGCAACAGAAAAAACATCCGGAAAAGACACCGAGAAAAACTCTACAAACGACATTGTTTACTTAATTCCTCCTGGCAACAAACCGGCTAATGAATATTCTAATCCAAATCTTTTATTAGGAATCTTTCCACGCTACTTCCATATGGATGTGGTAGGCTTGAGGATGGTTCTCGACCGATTCAAATCAATTTTCGTGAGCATCTCAGATATCTTCTTTCATCTGCAGATCGCCGCTTTGAACAACACTACTCTTTTATATTTGTTGTCTTCAATATTTTACAACGCCGAACAGCATGTTTCCGCGCCCAATTAATGACAACAAAATCGTGGTTTCAACAATCTGCACAAGTTCTTAACTCATTAAAATCTGAAGGTATAGCAGCAGCCCTTATTAATATCTAAAAAGTACCTTATTCAAAAGTTACTGATGAGAGGATAAATACGTTGATGAAGCACATCAAAATAATTGGTGATCATGTCATGGGCTCAGCTCATTCACGATCAGCTCTTCGCACAAAAATTCATTCTTTGTGTTTTTATCTTGGTCTTCCTAGTCATTTCCTCACAATCAACCCGACTGACATCCATAGTCCAGTGGCATTTTATTTTAGAGGTGTCGATCTCGACCTTGATAATGTGCTGTCAGAAGTCCTGCGTACAAGTTATGAGCGTGCTCAAATTATCGCGACGCACTCTGTTGCAACTGCAAAATTCTTCAATTGTTTAATAAAAATGTTCTGAAAAGTCTAGTGGTCGGCGGTGTGCTCGGTCCTATAAAAGCGTATTTCGGCACTGCAGAGAATCAAGAAAGAGGATCTCTCCATTTACATCTCTTGATTTGGCTTGATCATGAATATACTCCAGCACAATTGAAGGAAAATATTCAAAATCAACATTTTCGTGAAAATTTACAAAAAATATTTAGATGATATCATAGAAGAACCTTTAGATTCGTTTCGAGGTAATATATTTAACATTGTTGGAATCTGTGATTTGAAGTTTTTATATTTGCCTACTTGATGCTGTTTTACACCATGATAATGTATCACTGCCTTGCCTTGAACTTGAGCTTTCAGAACATTTTCAAAATTTTCATTAATGCAAAACATATTTCATTCCAATCACTTATTCTTACCATATATTTATGAGACTTCTAATTTTTGTACTTTTGAATATCAATATTCCTTTATAAGATGAAACTAACGCCGGAACAAGTACAACAAGTGACAAGAGAACATTAAACAGTGAGCTTTGAAGCATTTAAGAACCTTTAATTATAAGTTTCACTTTATTTTAGGCGAAACTGAACCGATAGCAAGTGAAGTTATACCAGCATGTCTCCCAATACCAAATCCTGCATTTGAAGACTTTGATCAAACGTTTCGCAAAGATATAGTTCAGTTGGTCGAAACCTGCAATATTCACAAGCATTCTGAGACTTGCTATAAATATTCTAAAGGCAAAAATGATGGTCCAAAAAGTTGTCGAATGCGCATGCCACGCGCACTAGTGAAGGTTTCTAATGTTGATCCTACGACGGGTCAAATAACCATGCGTCGATCGCACCCGTGGATCAATAACTTCAACGAATGGTTCTTAAGTGCGTGTCGATCGAACATGAATATTAAGTTCATCTGGAGTGGTAACGACGCTAAAGTATTAGTTTACTATATAACTGATTATGTAGCACAGCCTACTCTGGCTTTCCACGATATGTGTGCACTAGCACAACAAGGTATCAAGTCTATTGAGCAGGAACGAACTTCTAATACCACAGATAATATTGTTGACAAATCGCGTAAACTAGTATTACGCTGCTTCAATATGATTGCTTCACAACACGAAGTTTCAGGTGTTCAAGTTGCATCATATCTAATGAACTACGGTGACCAATACACAACACATACATTCAAGAATCTTTTTTTCATTTCAATCGAAAATTATCTACAAAGAGAGTTATATAAGGCACGAATTAACGAAGAAAAAATAGCTGAAGAGAAAATTGATGGTAAAACCTTTTAAAATAATTGTATAGATTTTTTAATGTGTGGCTTTCTAGAGATTTCATCGCCTTTCTACGATGAACAAGAAGAAGATAAAAATGAGATCGAAGAACAATTTTTATTAAAGCCAACAAAATCCAACAACGGTGATCAGTGTCTTAGTCAATACTCGTCTTGACTATCAGCACAGATCAAAGGATCTGAGTGCATTATGCTTATATGACTTTGTGAGCCATTTTCACAAGAAGGTTATCGACAAATCGGATCGTCATTTGCTAAAGAATGTAACCGATTCTCAAGGCCAAGAATTACCTACACAAGGAACGAAAATGAATGAACATCATACATTTGACAGCGTACATCCACAATCAACATCTCATCTCATAATTAAGCGTTCCATTCCAGTAGTACCAGTTCTGATAGGTCCTCAAATACCTCGCCGCGAACGAGAAGAAACACATGAACGTTATTGTCGCGCATTGTTAACATTATTCGTTCTATGACGATCAGTTGAGGACTTTGTGCAGTGAATGAGACATGGTCAGAAGCATTGGAAGCTCGAAGATTATTGATCTGTTCCAACTCGCTTAAGATTATAGAAAATATAGAACTTTTGCACGAATGCATACACGATCGAGATGAGCACCTTCATCAAGTTCTTTTAGAAGCTCAAAATGAAAACAGCATTGACCCTATTTTGATGCCTAACTACTATGAAGGTGATGAAAATGCAGACGAGGATGATCCGGAACAACTTTTACAAATGCTCTCCATCGTAAATGAGACCACTACAAACGCATACTCTGCATTGATAGTTACTCACGAACAACGCTATGTTCATGATGCATTACAAGCAATTGATAATACAGATAGATTTAATCTCACATAATAATAGAAATTGTAAGCAGGATGTTACCTATGATGCAATTCAAGTAATAAAATAAGCCGAATGCAATAAAAAAAAACGTTATAAATGCGACAGTATACGATACAAGTTCATTCCTAAGGATTTCGAATTGGTTTTGACCGAAAAGATCTTGAACGGCGATCGTTCTTCATCGTTTAGGACCATTTAAGATGTTGTTTCCAACGATCTGGATGATTAGGACATTCATTGCAAAACTGCTTCAATAGCTCATAAAGCAAATCTTTGTTTTACAAATTCAACATGAGTAGTTTTCATATTGTGTCGTATGGTTTGTAAGTAATCAAAAGAGTTCTATAAAATATAGTCAATATTAATATTTCAATGGTTTTGGATTGACAATGAAAGATTTTTTGTTGGAATCGACAACTACTTCCGATAGATGGTTCTGCTTTACGGTTTATATAAAATCATAGAAACAAAAATGAAAAATAGTTATTTATTTTATTTATATTAATTAATCAAAAAGTATTTTAAAATATTTTAAAAACGATCAATTAATCACTTAACACTCCATTATGATTTGTCTTATATCCACAACGTATTTTTATTTGTTCTTGTTTTTCAGTGGTCATAGTTTGGCACATTGACAAAATAAAGGTTAGAAAATTACCATTTAAAATGAGCGATCACGACGATTATGATCGAGATGATGAGTCTTATGCTAGATCATCTCGAGAAAGACGACGTAATCATAATGATGATAATGGTAGCAGTCATTCTCATCGATGTAAGTTTATCACTATTAAAATATTGACATTTATTTATTTATAAAATAATTCAGCATCGAGCAAACGTCATTCAAAATCAAGTACAAAAGATATATCAGGTATTGGTAAAAAAGTAGCTGAAAAAAGTGGTGGCCTTTTTTCACCTGAAGATTGGATGTGTAAAAGGTAATTATTAGATTTTTAGTCTCGTACATATATTCTCTCATATTTCAGTTGTGGAAATATTAATTGGGCACGTCGAACAACTTGTAATATGTGTAATATGCCAAAATTTCAAAAGGCTGAAGCACGAACAGGTAATAAATTTTTGTTTTTTTTTTTGTGAAAGAAAAAATAAAATTATTTAAACACTTCAAGGTGCTGGTGGTGGATATAATGAACGTGATAGTGTTGAATATAACGAACGTCATGATGAATCAGATGGCGAATATGATGAAGTAAATAATATCGTATTGATAAATAAGTTTGTCTAATTTTTTTTTATTTTAGTTTGGACGTAAGAAAAAGAAATTTCGTAGTATAACAAAAGATAAAGATGAAAAATCAAGTGATAAAAAACGAAGTACAACTAATCCGAAATCTCGATCATTGGG